ACCTCAGGTCGCGGATGCGGGCGGAAAGGGAGCGCGCGACCCACCTCCCGGCAGTGTCCAGCACCTAACCCAGTGGCCCGCCTCCCGGCAGTGTCAAACCTGACCCGATGACCCGTCTCCCGACAGTGTCCAGCACCTGACCCGATGGCCCGCCTCCCGGCAGTGTCAAACCTGACCCGATGACCCGCCTCCCGGCAGTGTCCAGCACCTGACCCGATGGTCCGCCTCCCGGCAGTGTCCAGTACCTGACGCGATGACCCGCCTCTCGGCAGTGTCCAACACCAGACCCGATGACCCGCCTCCCGGCAGTGTCCAGCATCTGACCCGATGACCCGCCTCCCGGTAGTGTCCAGCACCTGACGCGATGACCCGCCTCTCGGCAGTGTCCAGCACCTGACGCGATGACCTGCATCCCGGCAGTGTCCAGCACCTGACCCGATGGCCCGCCTCTCGGTAGTGTCCAGCACCTGACGCGATGACCCGCCTCCCGGCAGTGTCCAGCATCTGACCCGCGGGCCCGACTACAGCAGCCTCCGCCGCAGACCGGACTGGGGTGCCCCGCCGACGGGCCGGACTCGGACACCCTCCACCGACGGGCCGGACTCGGGCACCCTCAATCAACGGGCCGGACTCGGGCATCCCCCCCCCCCCCTCCCAATGACGGGCCGGATTCGGGCACCCTCCATTGACGGGCCGGACTCGGGCGACCCCCGAGCGCGACGGACGTGTGACGGTTCCCAGGCGGCCGGGGCCGGCTGCAGTTCCCGTCCGGGGTCTCCGGGAGGGCGGGCCACCGGTGGATGTCGGCCGACCGGCCCACCGGCGGTCCACCTGGCGGCCCTGCCGGCAACGGCCGGACCCGGGCCTCCCATTCTCACACACCCGAACGCTCACAGGAGTTTTACAGCCAGCGGCGGGCCTGATTGTGTGCGATAAATTCGGGAGGAATTTTTATTGTTCAAATGACAAGGATCCGACCGCACATAGAGCTCATCATAATCGGACCGGGTGCAATGATTTAGGACTTCACACGGTCATCGGCAACGTATAATCTGTGGGTCATAAGCGACGGGGTAATTAAACGGAAATTAAAACGGCGTGTTCCCGCAGCCTCAACGTTACAAAGGAAACCACCGCAGCAACAATGAGCTGGCTATTTACAGCGGCGTCAACACATAACATGCATACGAAACATCCGACAGGGCATGGGACCCAGCATGACAAGGTGACGATGTGGGCCAGGATGCTGCCTGCCGCCTGCCGCGCCGCGCGGCAGTCCACCCGAGCCCGCTGACGGGGCCTGACACCCCGCGGGAACCCCACCTCGATTCCGACCGGCCCTGAGCGGCTGACCGGCGGGCCGGCGCCCCGCTGTCGGACTGACCGGCGACGACGCCGGGGCCCGGGGCCCGGGGCCAGGCCCGCGACGGCGCCGCCGCCGGCGGTCGGTCAGCCGGGCGCCGCGGCTCAGGCCGGGTCTGCTGCAGCAGGGCGGCCGAGAGCGAGGGCGTCACGGCACCATTTTCATTCACCAGCTTAACAAGTCATGAGTTCAACGTGGGGAAAACAAGTCACATTTGTGGTCAGTGATTGTGATCGCCCTTGCAAACACAGCGTCGCCCAACGCCTTGGACAAACCATCAGGCGACCCGACGATCGTCCACCACGCCAACAACACCAGCAAAACACCGCCTCGGTGTTTTGCTGGTGTTGCTGTTTTTTCAACCAGCAGAACATCGCCGAAACACACGCTAGTAACCAAGACGAACTCGCTCTACCCACTCGACCGTCAGCGGGCGCTGAGACCGTCGCCGCTGAGGGCGGGACGCATCGCTCCCGCCGGGGACACCGGTGTGTCGCGGCCGCTCGTGACGCGCCTGTTTCGGCTGGCGGCGCCGGTTGCAGCGCATCTGCGCGCGCCGCTGTCCGGCCGGTCGCCGGACAGCCGCGTCACGGCCGCCGGCGCGCCGGCCGCCGCGTGACCCGCGCGCCGTCGCCGCGCGCGCCGATCGGCCCCACCGGCGAAAGCCGCGCCGCGCACGACGCCGTCGCCGCCGCTTGCTTCACGGGCGGCGTTTGGCGCAAGCGCGGCGAAACGTGGGGCAACGGACGCACCGCGGTCGCCGGCGCGGCTGCGTCGGAGCGCAGGACGGTCGGCCGCCGATGCCAGGCGGCGACGACCAGACCCGGGCCGCTGATGGGGAATGCGTTCCGCGGTGAAATGGGTCACGCACGGATGGTGGCCGGCGCAGTGATCGGTGACATCGACCGGGAGGGTGTGAACGGGCCCTGAGACTCGGGGACTTCCCTGGATGGGGCAGCGTCGTCTGACCACTGATCAGTGATATAAGCCAGGAGTGTGAACGGGCCCTGATACTCGGGGACTTCCCTGGATGGGGCAGCGTTGTCTCATCACTGATCAGTGATATAAGCCGGGAGGGTGTGAACAGACGCCCGCAGGCCACCTCACACCCGTCACTTTTCGTTGCGTGATATTGCAATGCTGTGAGCGGAACAAAACTGAAAAGTAAGGGAGCAACACAAACTGTTGACCAATAACGAAAAGCGGAAGGTAAAAAATTTCGATAATGATGGCCCGATGATAATGATGATCATGATAATAATGGCAACATCATGATGATGATCGTGATGGCTTAATGATTATGATGTCATGACAACTGCGGCATGATGGTGATTATATCATGATGATGATAAGATGATGGAGATTGTGATGATGATGCCATGATAATGGCGATGATGATGATGTCATGATGTCATTATGCTGCCACCCGTCACACACGTACTCCGCAGTGTGGGCACGTTTGGAAACCTCATTGATTCTAACGCTATGCTACTTTTTAGTTTCGTTCAGCCTCGTATCGCATCGCATTGCATCGCAATGCGATGCGGCGTAGCGCAGCGCAACGTTAAGTGACCAGTGCGGGTGGTCTTGAGACGCGGGGCGGCTCAGAACTTCTGGACGGGCCACCGCGGCTTCGGCAAGCGACACAGCCGGCAATGGCTGCGGTAACAGACGCGAGGCGGCTCTAAACTTCTGGACGGGCTACCGCGGCTTCGGTCGGCGACACAGCCGGCGATGGCTGCGGCAACAGACGCGGGGGCGGCTCCGAACTTCTGGACGGGCTACCGCGGCTTCGGTCGGCGACACAGCCGGTGATGGCTGTGGCAACAGACGCGGGGGCGGCTCCGAACTTCTGGACGGGCTACTGCGGCTTCGGCCAGCGACACAGCCGGCAATGGCGGCGGCAACAGACAGCTAAATGGGCAGAGGCCATATTTCCGTGGGGACCTCGAATGACAGGACAGTCTTGCACGCATAAAAACTGCTTTCATGGACGGTGCGGACAAGATTATTGGGAAATAACGTAAAGCACGGGTGCTTTGCTTTGTATGACGTGTGTTTTACAACAAAGCAGATGACAACCCGGGCCCACCACTCGATCAATGAAAAGATATGCTTCAAAGTTGGAGGCCATGCGAAAAACTGCGAAACTGTGATAACCTATTCGTCGCGAAGTTATAGCATATACTAGACACACAGACGAAAACATATCGCCACAGGGGTTTACGAGATGCCATCTGACGGGAAGTTTAGAGGACATGTTTTTACGCGCGTAAGCATGTAACTGCACAAATAAAACACTTTGACATGTAAATGTCATCGTGATTTTATTTGGTCTCTTCATTCGCGTTGACAGTAGTCGATTCACTTCCTAAACTCACGCGAAACGCAGTCATCCAAGGGCAATAAATCCGACCCTAAGCGATTGGAAGAGCTTCGTATCGTCACGGAATTCAAAATGAAATGGCTTTAAGGCTGCTTATAAATAACATGTGATAAAGCGGTCGGTCTGGAACTTTTCCACGCGCATTACGTAACTGCTGACGCTGCTGTTGAGGCGTCGCATCCGTTTGTGGTCAGACTGACACGGGGTAGCGGATCCGTGGCACGGCGGAGCGCGCCTCCAGGCAGGGGCTGGCCAGCTCCCTGGCGTAGCTGGTGATGGCGAATCCACACAGCTCGCACACGTGCTAGATTTACTGAATCGTTTAAGCGATGTCACACACGTTCAGTAATCAAGGTCAGGAAGTGCTTCCAAGGGTCGATGTTGGGGAGTGTTGGTAAGAAATGACAGCAATTGACAAACACAATAATCAGAAAGCAAATTATCGGAATGTGCAAAAAGGTTTATTGCTTACAAATAGCGCGTCATTGATCATAGCACTATACCCTTAGATCTGTATTTTAGCTTGTTACTTACATAGGTTAAGTCGCATGACTCCACTACTCCAGTGGCGACACGTCATGCACCCATAACCAGACTAAACCGCGTAGGAGGCGATTGTTTTAGGATTTAAGCCATAAGTTAATGGCATTAGTTAACTCCATCGCACAGTGCGGAAAATAACTCCTATAAATACATATCCTGTAGGTAATAACTATAAATAGTAATGATGGTAATGTAAGACACTTGAAAAAGCTTTTACAGATGAAACACAACATGCAATAGTAATCTATCAACTAACACGAATAATTGCAAAAAATGCAATGAAATGACTTTGTCATGTCATAAGTTACGGACGCTTATGATATAATCCTAACATGTTTTGGGAATCACTAGAAGTACACAATATGATGCGGAAAATGCTTCCCGTAAACCAACAAAGGACACGTTTTCCACATTTCTGGCGCGCAGACCTCTGAGAAAGAGGCCATCGCTTGACGTCCTAACATAGCACAAAGCTATGTCTCCGGGGTGTACCGGGGAGGTGAGACCCTGCGGTGAGGTATGTGATTACCGACTATGGTAACCAGCCGTTCGCGGGGGGTGATCGTTTGAGGTCGCGGCACGCGCGGTCACCGGTTACGGCGCCTAATCGCCTGAGGGCCGTGTGTGGGTGTGGTCGCTGACCCCCGCACCTGGCCGGCTCGGGGTGGGGCGTGTGTGCTGTGCCATCGCCGCTGGCGGCCACGGTACCTGATCGTTTGATGGCGCGGACGGCGAACGGCACGGCGTCCCAGGGTCCGCGGCAGGTCCAGGAACACGGCGTCGGCCACATCCTCCAGACCAAACCCCTCTCCGCACACGTCCCTGCGGGGGGGGGGGGGGTTCGCCGTCAGACGCCCAAACACAAGGGCCACAGTGGAGGCGCTTCTGGCCACACAGTCCCCATGTACAAACGGAGACGCGTGTTATTCTGATGTCGTCATAGCTCAACTAGCTAGTGGATGAGACATGTGGACCCGCCCTAACGAACAGACTGTGCCCGGGAGGCACCCAGATGACGGTTCCGAAGCGACCTCTGGGCAGCAACTGCCGAATCATCAGCATTCTGTAGCGGACAGGCTTGTCTGATTTGGACCTGTCCGCGGCTCTGCTAGCGTTTATACCACAGCAAAATACAAGTCTGGCCATGGGACTGCGGAGAACAGATCAGATAAGGGGAAAAGCCGGCCTTTCAGGCTCGGTCCCACTTCACGTCGGGGGTATGTGCGGAAGGGATTCGTCAGCAGTGCTGGAGTGCCGCTAGGGCCCCCCATTCCTTCCCCGCAAGCCCGCCGTCCTCCTCTCTACATGAAGACTTCATCTAACGACCAGATGAGCCTGATAATTCATCCTCGCTTCACCACGGTCCTCTTTCGTGACAAGGCTAGTCCGGTTTTCGGAGCATCTTTTTACGACATAAATAATCCTGACGCTATGTTAATATCTGCAATAGCACTTCACTTTTCACTCACACTTGACCTAATGCAGGAGAGAAAAACTTCAACCACACAAATGCACATATCCTTCCCATTCTGCGACCGTAAGTCAGTAACGATGAGGCCGCCCGCCACGAACATCGGCCTCGTTGTAACGTGACGTTAACCAACCCTTGTGTTCGGCCGCGAAGTGATTAAATCACTTGCGTTGGGCCGTGCCGTCATAGTTCAACTTTGACCATGACGTCACACAGGCAGCCACATTCGGTCGTGAGCTGGGATGCCGCGACGGTCATCTGTGTTTGGTCGTGACGTCACGCATTCAACTCTGACCATGACGTCACAAAGGCAGCCATCTTTGGTCGTGAGCTGCGATGCCGCAAGAGTCACCTGTGTTTGGCCGTGACGTAGTCGGCAACGCCGTGTGCGCGGAACTCCTCGCCGGCCAGCTGGCTGCGCTGCTCGTGGAAGTCGAACGTGTGCAGGTGGCCAGAGGGCGCTATGGTGCGCAGGATGGCGTGCGAGAGGGAGCCACTGCCAGTACCTGAAGCACGTGCGGCGGTCGTAAAGCACACGGCGTGCCAACCGACATCCGGTGAAATCCGTGGACTTAGAGGTCCTTCTTACGCAAGCGCTTCGTGTCTTACCTTTACCTTACCTGTCGCCTCACCACACCTCAACAATGCACAAATTCTAAGTAGCATTGGGGATGGTAGCACACAGACGATGATTGCGTCTTTGAAAAGTTCCAGCCCAACAGAAATTACACCAAGCCTGACCTGCCCATTACCTGTCCAAGTCAGTCAGTAGGCTGAACTCCCCCGCAGACCACACCACCCGGCCTCGCTCCAGACCCTAGCTCCAACTGAGTCAGCTGGCTCACCTGCCTCAAAGACTACACTGCCTGGCCCCAGAGCACATGTCAGACTCCAGTTCCAACTAAATCAGCTGGCTCACCTGCCTCACAGACCACATTACCCGGCCTAGACGAAACCCTAGACCCCAGCTCCAACTGAGTGAGCTGGCTCACCTGCCTCACAGACTACACTACCTGGCCCCAGACCACACTCCAGACCCCAGCTCCACCTGAGTCAGCTGGCTCACCTGCCTCGCAGACCACACTACCCGGCCTCAGCTCCAGCTGAGTCAGCACCATGCTGATGTCGGGCGTGTAGAGGATCTGCGTGCGGTGCGGCAGCGTCAGAGTCCACAGCTCGGGCGTCGGGTGCAGCGCGAACGCCCAGCCGCGCGACATCTGCACTTGCGAGCCGTACTTCAGACCTGCCCCACGCAGATGGCAGCACAAACGTCACGCCAGGTGGCAGCAGCACCGAGTGGACAATGGCGCCAAACCGGCTTCGCTACAGCGAAACGTACGAATCGATCAAGGAAAGTGTGAAGAGAGTTGAGTTGGTCAAACAGACTTATCCGCACAAAAAACAACTTAAAGGAACTGTGGCGTAACAACGTGGTGCCAAGTAATCGGATCCCGGCGTCACTACCACATTGAGCCTGGTTTGAGAAGTAACTTTATTTTTACCCGCAGGACATTGGCGTGTTAAAACGACTGCTTACCAACAAGATCCTTCACCTTCAAGGCACCATAAACAGTTTGGAATATGTTTGGAACCATGTTGCCTTTTTTGTTCTTGACTTCATCTGAGACATTAATGGCATGGATGTTCTTGATGTTCAGGTACAGAATCACAGTGTCTCCTAGCTCCACATATGTCTTGTATTCTTTGAAACTCATTTTGCTCCGCTGAAAAACAATGGATATTACAGCACACCATTTGATTTCATACCTATCATAAACATGATACAATACAATCACATAAATTCACGAAGTTCAAGAAGTTAGAAACAACTATACTTCTAGTGGTTGATGAATTTTAACCTAGCATTTACAATCAGTGAGATTCAATTCATTTATGTGAAATGCAATCATGGCAAATGCTGACCCTATTTCAACATCACTTCACACATTTCTGGCATGCATTTAAGGGGGTGAGGAAGAAGTGGCACAACCTGAATAATACAATTTGACAAATATCAGAGTGATATTCATAAAACTTGATGTTCCCAGTGAAGGTCATGAAGCATCTACATAATATGTAATGCCCAAATCTGAAATAACCACCAATTGCCATGACAGCATGTTAAGTGTGCAAACATCTTTTCAGCTATCATGTATATTTCTAGCTGTAATTTTGAACTTCTCCATATGCTTTTGTCTGTTTTATGCATGTTCATAATTACTGACATTGCATTGATACATACTCAAATACATCTGAAGGAACACAAACAATATAGAGCTTACAATCAATGTAAGGTGAGAACTATCATAGTTTCAAGCATTACATATACAAACTTGGTCATGGCTTCGGCATTCCAGATGATATATTTCATGCTAAAAGTCTCTTCAATCCTCATCTTGCTGCACAAAGTTTGTTGCTTTTACATGAACTACCTGCCATAATCAGGTTAGAAGCACCCTGTTGTAGTGCATCAATTTGCTTCATCCCTTTTTTAATAGAAAATGCTGTACATAGGTGTCATCCAATGCTAAGCACAGCTCTGCCACCCAAAAAGGCCTAAGCACCACTAGGTAGCATGGCACTCTGGCCTCCTTGCCTTTGGACAGCAGAGCTGCCCAGGATGCAAAAAAGTATATGCTGGCCTGAAGCAACAGACTTTCACCTAAGGTCCCAAGCTGTTATGTCTATGCAGTATGGAATATACAGTTTTCAAAGTTAACTTTTGATGTGTAACACATTAACCTTTTACTAAAAAAACAGAGCAGCTGTGACTTGATTTCAAAATTATGCCCCCAATGTACAAAAATGTGTCAAGCATACATTCCACACATTTTGCCTTATAGTGTTAGCTGAATTATTGGACATCATATCCAGGCCAAAACAGAAAGACAAAGAGGAGAAGTGCTCATGTTCTTTAGCTATAGAGCATCTGTCTGCCTGCATTGGAGTACAAGATTGTCTGCTGTAGGCAGGGTCTGAACCGAACTTTCACTTCCTCCCAATGAACACAACAGATGTGCACATATAAATACACATGCTTACATTTACCAAGAATCTTTCATGCAAGACCACGTGTTAAGCTTTTATAGACAAGACAATGATATGCCAAATAAAAATTCCAAAAACAGTAAGGAGTGTCACACTCACATGTTTTGCAGTTCCCTGCCACAAGCATAGAATATGAAATGCTAGTTGCAAAATTTCACCAGCAAACATAAGCTGATCATCAGGAGTTGCTCCAGAAAAGGCTGATGACAGTCCTGGAGAAAAAAGGTAAAGTTAAAAAGATTTGATCAGTTTTTTTAATCTTGTGATTTTGCCTGATTTTACACATGCCTGCAGGCCATCACATACAAACAAAACCTTTACACCAAATTCATCCAGCTACATTCATTGCTTTTATATGTTTTCACACATTTCACATTCATTGTTTTCTATCCATTGGTTTCATATATTCTGTGTTTTGGGAACATTTTATATTTTGGACAAATGTCAAATTTTGCTTCATTACACCTCTTATTCTCCTGTAAGATCCAGACTTTAGAGGATAGCATGGCAGATTATGCTCACAAATTACCTTAGCAACGTCATATCTTCTGAACATATTAGCTATATCCACTGACACCCATACAATCATGAACCACAGTCAGAGCACTCAGATTTACTTCATGTTTACAATAAAATTATAGCTGGAGTGTTGCTGCTACGCAGGACATGTTCAGCGTGACGTGTATTTGTTAGTCCAGCCGGTAAGCTACATCGGGCGGCACACACCACATGAACAATGTCGCACCACGATGCTATGAATAACGCTAGGTAGACAGTTTAACACTCAGCTGTATGAGTTCTTAAAAATTTGACATGTCCGAGAAGTGAATGTGCCGACCTTCACACCTTCATACCGAAAACGCTACCGCCACCCACGTGACAATGCTGAAACGCAGGGATGAAACTCGGGGCAGATTCCTTTCAATTCAGCTTTCCGTGAATTCCCGCGCATGTAAATGTTATTCATGCGCTATATTTGTGTGATATGGAAGCCTTTGTTGGTGTGGGTAAAAGTACTGGTTCTTTTAGAACAGTAAAATTTGGGGCATTGCCGATTCCTATCATTCCCATAGCTCCCTGCGCCTGAGCTGCAGCACAACATTTCGCGTGCCTTAAGCCCCTTTGTTTACTGAAATGCTGATATCATTCTGCACAAGCCTGCAGCTGGAGCGAAATTTCTTATTTCAGTTGGGAGCAGGGTCAGGGTCAGGGTCAGGGTCAGGGTCAGGGTCAGGGTCAGGGTCAGGTCTCCAATTTATCCTCCAACTTTTGAGAAGAATGTGGACGAAATCCGGGAGAAACACGCTTGTTGGCATCTGAGGGTTGGCTGAGACATTATTTGCTGTTCAGCCCCTCACCCTTCACTTTGTGAAACTAAACTCCTGGTGTCGGAGCTTCAACCCCCCCCCCCCTCCCTCCCTCCCCAACTTGGAATCCGGTGCCCAACATTGAGAAGGGAGCGGGCCAAACCCGTGTAAAACCTCCTTTGTTTCCGTATGTCGCGGTAAGCTTTCGGCGATATTCACTAGTTAGCCTCACCAACTCAGTTTGAAAAACTACAACCTGGCATGCATTCCTCATTTTCTTATCGCTCTACACGGGTCATGGCCACTGAATTGTGTGACCGCTTGAAAGGTCACCACGACCGAAATACTGATGACCCGTGCATTGTAGATACCAGGGGTGCCCTTTCCTGTTCAGTTAAGAAACCTTCAATTTGCCCCCCCCCCCCCCCCCCCTCATCTTGGGCTCCAAGCCCCAACTGTGAAAAGAACGCGTTTTGGCTCCCCAACTCATTTTGCGAAACTACGTTCCTAGTAGATGCGACCACCAGACTGATGACGGAGGCTCCGAGAACGAATGTGAGAAATTGTTCTGGCGAATAAAGAGCTTAAAACACCGGTCGATTTGAGATTTTGTGATTTGCTTCTCTTCCACGACAGCTTCTGAGACTCAGCTCGACGCTCCCTCTCGATGTCAGTTTCAAAAGTCACGTTCCCTTGTTGCAGTTCGCGAAGGGCTAACACGTTGCATCATCATGTTGTCGAGCGTAGGTGGCGTATATAAATTTGTCAGCTTCGGGTAGCTCGTCTCTGCATGACTGCCTACTTGATTCAGAAACATTTCAGGAGAGTCTCTTTCTATTCGTTGTTTTTATGTCGCATTATATTACACTTAAAATACCGCAGAACCGTCTTCTGGTGTGTCGCCGATTAAAACGTCCAAGCTTTGGTTTGGTAATTCCTTGGACGTCACAGGAACGTCCACGCTTGTCTTAGGAGCCCCAACAGTCCCGAACTGGCGCATACAAGAAAGGCTGGCTAACATATTTCCTTAGTTAAATGTTCAGAGCCTGCACTATCTCCTGAGCGATCCAGTATGTTCATTTTTGTCGGGCGCTCGCTTGTCGTAGAAGCTCTGAAAACTTTGGCTTTAAGACCGCACGAGAGACGACTGCGTTATGTGGTGATCGAATCAAGGTAATGCATGTGGGAATCGGCATAGAGGCGACTAACTTGCGCGTCTGGAAGGCCAGATGTCGAGGATGCGATTCCCCGCGGTGCCCGCTCTCCTGCGGGCGAGAGGCTGGCGGTTCCCTGTGGTGCCCACTCTCCTGCGGGCGAGAGGCTGGCGATTCCCCGTGGTGCCCGCTCTCCTGCGGGCGAGAGGCTGGCGGTTCCCTGTGGTGCCCATTCTCCTGCGGGCGAGAGACCGGCGATTCCCTGTGATGCCCACTCTCCCGTGGGCGAGAGGCTGGCGATTCCCTGTGGTGCCCACTCTCCTGCGGGCTGGCGATTCCCCGCCGTGCTCGCTCTCCTGCGGGTGAGAAGTTGGCCATACCATATAGTCTCAGCTGTTGCATGCGTCGTATGAAAGATTATGACCGTGGCAGTACGTGCGGCCTTAGTGCTGTGGCGTCGTAAGCAGTGATTTGGGTCAGAGCAAGTCATGTGTGTGCGGTACTTGAGGTCATAGCACTACGGAGCCGCTTTAAGGCTGTCTTTGAGACCGCGGTCTTACGGCCCCGTAGGCACCAGGCAGTAATTGCCACCACATGCATCACAGAGACGTAGGCAGCAACAAAAACCATAGCGTTACGACGGCGTAAGCAGTAACTGAGGCCAGTGTCATAAGCGGAATACAAAAGCATAAAAGAGGGAAAGTTTATGTTGTTCGGCATACGGTGATCTATGTAAATGAGTTTTTGGGAGTGCAATTTTCACATTGTATCAACTCATTAAAAATGAGTTGTGAAACATCTCATAGAATATTCAGTTGATAGTATTACCTCGGGATCTGGTGATAGCCATTGATTCAACGGTGGCTTTCTATACACCGTTGGGCAATCCAAAGGCCCTCAGCTTGCTGTCGAGCACCTGGGACTTCTGATCAGGCTTGTCTTATTTTTCACTGAGCATCTGGTCAGATTGATTCATCTTTGATCGATTTATTGGTCGCCTTTGGCGGCTAACGCTTATTTCACCGTTTTTATGTTCTTGCTGTTTTGTTATTCGTGCGTCTTTGCTGGACCTGCTGTAAAGCTTGAGGGAGGCTGTTGGCATTACGAGCGCTTTGACATTCTTGGGGCTCCATACATATTGTTCTGTACCAGCTCTTACAAAACTCGTATGCATCCTACCTCCAAATTTCGCGCAACGCCGGACGCCGACGAGCTCGAACAACAGTACGTTATGGTAGGTGGTGTCCCGGAGTAGGTAACGTGTGCTGCCGCCAAGCCTCGCGTTTTTCCAATGCTCCGATTGGCTGCCGTCTCCCATGGCACTAAATTAACACTCTCGTTTAAAATACATGACCGGGCCGCGAAACTCAACCTGGAATTTCTCGTATTAAGTCAGATCCATACTTCCCAACTCCTTGCTTCCCGGAACATAACACTCTGAAGGGGTTTCATTGCTTTGGTCTGCACGCGGCAAATTTCTACCGCACCAGTAATTTTGCGGGAATCACCAACGAGAATGCTTGCCTCCCTCTACTGATTCTTTGCCAGTATTTGTGAAAGGGAGTGGCGCAAAGCGTACGGACATGCAATGACCCCACTCCGCGGCCTGTTTTTCCCACTCGGCTGCACCTCTGCCTGCACGGCGCCACAATTACTACAGTGCATTCTCCTCTGCACCGTAAGACTACACGCCAGCACTAATGATATTCAAATCTCCTAAAGCCTCAGCGGCAAAATAATTGCTCACTGCCAGTTCCAAGGCTTACCAGCGGGCACCGGCCATCAACGTAATCGATGTGTGCGCTATGTTTAGTACATCACCATCTAACACACACCAAAAGAAATTGGTTACATGCATATCTATGCCATGAACTTCAGCTGCTGCACATTATGGAAAAGTGCCGGGTACATAGCGATAGCTGGCATGATTAAAATTTCTAGACACTTGATTCAGTTGACAAACCTGGGTGCACCTGCCGGCCCGGATTTATAAATCTGTACCGGGCCCTTGGACACGATCATATTTTGCAGACAAGATAGACAGGTGATTTGGCGTACAAGCCGCGAACCATGGCAGCTGCCTTTTTGGTGTCTGCCTCACAGCATTTCACTGTGGGAGAACACGCCTGCACGTATCACGAGTGTTTATAATAACCTCGTTGATACTTTTTCACGACCCCCGATGCGGGCCCGAGGTCTGCAGGTCCCATAGTAGCAACCTTTCCACACTAGTGGTTACAATGGAACAGGGCGATACTTAGGCAGCACGAAAGTGCAATGTAGTGCCTACATCTCTACGCACCAAGTGTCATGCATCTCAAGCCCTCTGAGGCGGCTACTATCCCAGCCGCTGCAGCCCAGCCGTCATGAGGCCAATAACCGAAAACTACACACCCATCGGCCTCTCACGCCCTCGCATCTCGACCTCCGCCGAACGCTGCTTCCCACGTTGCGGCCCGTGCGCGGCCGCGCTCGCCATGAATGAACCTAGCGTCCGCCTCTCGTGCATCTCCGAGCGTCCGGCGGCGGCGGCGGCGGTCGCTCCGCGCCGCTCCCACGGCTCGGTACCGGCTCTGGGCGGCGCTCAGCACGCCCTGTGGTGACCCCAGTCAGCGTGACCTCTGGAGGCACCGTCAGGCAGCGCCGCCGCTCACCGCCGACGGGCGTGGCCCGCCCGAGGCCGCCGGCGGCGCCGCGCGGATCCAGCGCGGATGTGACGATAGCGGCGCGGTGTACGTTCACGCGCGGCGGAGTGGTTACGTTGGAGGGTGGC